CCCCACCCCAGCTGGGCCCTCTCACCTAGACGGTCTGTGCGGAGTCCCCGTTGTGCCCCTTCTCGTTGCTCACCAGGCTCTGGGGCAGCAGGGTCGATCTCCCAGCACCTGCCCCGCTCCGCATTTCTCCTGCCCCCCCTGGGTACAGACCCCGCACCCCCTGCGCCGGCTGGGCAAAGCCCCGCAAGGGAGGGGGGCTGACAGAGGCAGCGCCCGCCCTCACCCTGCTCCTGGGCACAGAGGGCAGCGGGGGCATGTTGAGGGGCAATGCCACCCCAGCCCGGGCGTGCCCGGGGAAGAAGGGCCCTGGGGGGAAGGGGGGGTAGGCTGAGAAGATGGGGGGCGGGGGGCCCATGAAGGAGGGGTAAGGGAGGTACTGGGGGTGTGGCAGTGCTGCATTGAAGTAGTACGGCCTATAGAAGGGTGGGGTGCAGGGAGGCCGAGGGGGGTGCCCGTTATGGAGGGAGGGGTCTCTTGGTGGGGTGTCCAGTCTTGGGATGGGGCCAGGGAAGGGGAAGTGGGGTGCACCAGGACCTGGGAAGGGGAAGTGGGGTCCTCCAGGGCCAAGGAAGGGGAATTGGGGTGCACAAGGACCAGGGAAAGGAAACTGGGGTGCACTGGGACCTGGAAAGGGGAATTGGGGTGCATCGGGGCCAGGGAAAGGGAATTGGGGTGCATCGGGGCCTGGGAAGGGGAATTGGGGTGCATCGGGCCCAGGGAAAGGGAATTGGGGTGCATTGGGGCCAGGCTCATTCTGGATGAATGGGTTCTGTGGTGCCGTGGGGCCGGGGAAGAGAGGAGGGGGAGCTGGAGTGGGGGATTTCGAGGTGCCCCCGGGACCAGGCAGCGGGGACTCTGTGGGGGAGCCCTGCTGCCCAGGGGGGGTCCGGACCTGTTGGCCACACAACAGCAGGAGACAGCAGAGAGAGAGAAAGGTCAGCCTCAGTGCCCACCCCAGCGCTAGGCTCGTTTTTGCTGGAATTGTCAGTGGGCATGGCTGGTGTCTTGTAGGGGTCTGCAGAGGCATGCTGTGCCCTCCCCGTGTTCCCTGTCCCTCCCAGCAGAGCCAGTAACCAACACCCCGCCAGGCTCACAGCTCTCTATTCTAGTCCATCACAAAGCCTCTTTGTGTCTGGATCTGTCCCTCACAGCAGGGCCTCACTGGGCACAGCGGCCCCTTCAGGCTGATTCTGAGCACTCGCGCGCTCCTGTGGCTCTAGGATCCCAGTCTTTTTCATGTGTTGCCCTTAATTGTCTGTTTCTAATCTTTGGGTAGATAAATTTATTAATTGCTCAAATAATAGGTATGTACCCTATTACAGGAACTCTGGTCCTTGATTTCTGACTATTTCTGTTAAATAACTTCTAAAGTGTTTAATTGACCAAATCACTTGCAACTGATCACAAATTTGGCGTCTTGGCCAAATTTCCCATTGGCCCTTACCAATCATGGCCTCCTAATAACCCCCATGTCTGAAGTGGCTTCATCACTCTGCTCTCCTCCCCACTGATAGCTGGTGTGTGGTGAGTGTACTGGTGCACTATGGCTGCTGTCACATCATCCAGGTGGGGCTGCACATTGGTGGTGGTGGAGGGGAGTCCCCATTACCTGTAAAGCTCTTTGAGTGGAGTGTCCAGAAAAGCGCTTTATAAGTGTAAGCAATTATTATTATTATTATTATTATTATTAATTAACTTGTTCCAGGTCTTCAGTATCTCTGCTACACTGGAGAGGCATGTGCTAGGACCTTTTTAACCACAAGGGGGCAGTGTTACCTTTCTCAGCCTCAGCTGACCGTTCTTCTGAAAGATCTGAAAGATAAGGGAGCAGGGAGGAGGCGATGAAAAACACTTATGTGTTGTCTCTCAGTGCTTCCTCTCGGGTGAACAGTCCTGCGTCTGCCCACGTGTTCTACACAGAGACACTCACCGAGGCTGACAGCGCAGTGCCCAGGACACACAGCAGCACAACGACCACACGCATGGCGAGATCACTCTGGAGCACCACCTGCACGACAACAGCAGGCGGTCAGGGAGACGAGCAGCCTGAGGACTGTGGCTTCCTGGGAACATCACTGCCCTGTTCATGGTGCTAGTTCTCGTCATGGCGAGAGGTCATGAAAGTGTGCGTTACTTGTGTTCTGTTTGGCAGCTTCCAGACTGAAATGTCCTGCAGTCC